CTGCGAAGTAAGGGCATAGTAATTGGCAACCGAGAATCAATTCGAAATCCTATCTTTTTATAGCCTTTTAAAATCTGAACAATCCAAAAAGCTCTACTAGGGTCATGGTAATCCACCATTCGATGACAGTACCCATGCGCAGACACATATGTAAGCACCGTAGAAGGCGCATACTTACGTTGGAACAAGAACGCAATAAATAAACTGAGGTCTGTCGGTGAAATGGGAAGTGAAACTAAAGCTCTTTGAAGAGCCTCGTGCGAAAATTGTTGGAATAATTTCCAAGCACGACGATAAGTGGGGACTGACGATGGCTGCAAACTAGATTTTAGTAAAATAGAAGTTACATCTTCCATTTGTGCGGTAGTAGATTTTTCGGGAACAACCGACGGCAAAGTGTGAACGTTCGCAGGGGCTAGCTCTTTGAATTTTGAAACCTGAAAACGCGACAAGGCATCAGCTAGATGGTTGTACACACCTGGTATATGTTTGGCACGGAACAAAATTTTAAATTTTAAGCAAACTAGCCCCAGGCGACGAACAAATATCATCACTGTCGGGTCCCGAGAGGTAGATCTATTTAAAATTTCGACCAATGCTGCGTTGTCTGTGCGAAATAATACGCGTTGATAACGCAAAAGGTGACCCCATAACAATACGCTTAGAACGATTGGGTAAAATTCCAAAATAACGATGTTTAATTCTTTCCAGTGCTCAGGCCAGGCCCCGTAACACCAAAATTTACCGAAAATGGCTCCAAAGCCAAAGCTTGCAGAAGCGTCTGTGTACAAATTCAAAACATTAGATGGAAGCCAATAGTCGGAAAGAAAAAATGACCGACCGTTAAAATCATCGATAAAAGATTTCCAAAGACTCAAATCTGCTTTTACAGACCTTGTCAAACGAATGTAGTAATAGTTTACCCTAACTACCTTGGTGATGTCAATCAGCCGACGAAGAAATGCTCTGCCTGGTAAGACGACCATGCATGCAAAGTTCAACAAGCCAATCAACGACTGGATTTCCTTTAGCGTGGCCTTTTTCCTTTTGAGAAATTCTCCGAGAAGCGTGCCTGTTTTGAGGATTTTGTCCTCTTGTAGACAAGCTTCCATAGCATGCGTATTGAGCTCAATGCCAGCAAAAGTGAGGATATTTACAGGAGCAAACGTTTTTCCTGGAGCTATTGGTACACCGACATGAGCACAAAGAGATGTAAACTTTTGTAATGCAACGCAACACTGGTCGAATGAAGGGGCAGCAAGGAGATAATCATCAAGAATATAAATAATATGTTCAATGCTCAAATGGGTTTTAGCGATCCATTCTAGTGCAGTGCTAAACATTTCAAAAGTGCGGCAGGACGATGCGCAACCCATAGGCATTGTCCGATCAAAATAGTAGTTACCCTGCCAAAACATTTCCAAAAGGGGGTAATCCTGTGGACGTATGGGAATGATGCGAAATTATTGTTTTTTGAACATTTTTCAAAGTCAAGGAAAGCATGTGAAAAGAACATAGATAAGATTTTAATAATGATAAAATAACATGTTTTTCTCATTAAAACTTTCACTTTGCGAAGATATTTTACTATTAGTTTTCCTGTGGCACATTTTTCATTTATCTACCAAGAGCCCATTTCCAACACGAAATTAAAAGTAACCGTTTTCGTTCATTCGTCATTGAGAAAGTTTTTTGCGAGATTTTAGAGTTGATTTCACAGTATTTACACCTTGTAAATTGTCAAGTTTCTTAGAGCAAAGTCCACTATGACTGGATGGTAAATAATTTGCACAGCGAATATTTAACTTTCAACAACCTTAGCGGTAGTCATTTGACTTTGAATTTTCTGTTGAAGTAAAACGCACAAATTTAAACATGTTAAAGTTTCTTTAATTGACGTCATAACTAAAATTATTATTGTGATTGGGTCCTTAGGAGCATGTCACCTATCACAAAGACAACAAGTAATCCTTCAATGCGTTTTTAAGCCCTGTTTCAAACATTGCATTTTACATGCGCCCAATGCATTTAAAATATGAGATAATGAGATAAAATTCCTTATTATCTTTTGTCTTAAATACATTCGGCACATGTAAAGTGCGATGTTTGAAACAAGCCTTAAATACGCATTGAAGGATTACTTGTTGTCTTTGTGAAATGTGACATGCTCCGAAGGAGCCAATCACAATAATAATTTTAGTTATGACGTCAATTAAAGAAACGTTAACATATTTAAATTCGTGTGTTTTACTCTAACAGAAAATTACTCCCTTTAACGTTGTAGGAACAAAGGTAAATTCTGTCTTTTTACTGACGAATACTGAAGTATGAGTTACATGGAATAATGAACTGGTCTTAGTGTAGGCCTCGTCATCTGAAAGCTTTCACTGTAAAATGCTTTCATCATGATTATAAGTCTTTGATCGTGCGAAACTTGTTACATCGTTCAAACTCAACTCACTAAAGCTTTTCGTGCAATGAAGGTGAATGTTCTACCGTTTAAATAGTCAAACAGAAAAAATAAAACAATTTGCTCTTTCTCAATATATCTGATTAAGAATTTAAAACGCAAACTAACGTCATATGCAGTGTTATTCATCATGAAATCTCATACATGTGTTTCATATTTCCTTATATTGTAGATCCCAAAAGGATGGAGTTGTGAAAATTCCTTTACCACCTGTGTCATTCACTTCAATTACTCTTACTAGTTTTTCATTACTCATGTGTCATGGAGATTCATGGCCAAGAATGTTCATTTGTAGTTTGGATTCTTCGTTGATGTCAGTTGTTTGTTCATATAATGATGATGGGCCCCATTGTTATATGAACCCACCTAAAGGTGGTCAACTGATAAGAACAGAAGATCAACTCTGCACTAGGCATTCTTTGAGTAATGATAAAACTAGGGTATTGAAGTGCGGTCCCTTTTCCTTCGCTTAAAGTTACCATAACAGTGCATTGTGAATTGTAGTCTATCGAAATGGCGATCGATAATATTAGTGGCTTCTTTATTGGTTGATGGTGCTACTTACTTCGTGTATGGAATGGTATCGACATGTTGAATGGACATTGCATGACGGCATATGTACGTATGAACATTTACATTGAAGAGATTGCACTATAAAAATGGTCTACATTCTACGAAGATGGAAAACAAGCGAGGAGAAAAAGACGATCTCTATTTTGTGGTTTGTAAGTTGAGTAAATAAGTGTTAAAATTAACTTGTATGAGTAACTGCAAGAGATAGTTAAAAAGGATCCTGATGGTCTATCTTTACAATTTGAAGCTTAACCATTAAAATCACCCAACTTAAAAAAGTGTCATTAAAAGATGTCACTTGCTGTGAGAAAATAGCTGGCTTTCACTCGCTACATTTTAGTAATTTTATGTAACGTGTATTAAGAACATTGCAATGATGCAAGTATGGTTCATTGAATTACTAAGATAAAAAATTTATAATTAATTTCAACGATACAACGTAAAAACTACGCGGTGAAAAAAAGGAAGATACCGACCAAGTCGCCTGGATCAAACTGACCAGGACAACCCTTGGAAATCAGGTATTAAAGTTTTGTTCCTTTCAATATAATTAATTTCTGTTTCTTCATTATGCTGACATTTATAACGTGTTTTTTATAGAGTAGCTATGTCTGTAGGCCTTCTAACTGGACAATGAATGAAGGACGAAGTCGGGCATACACACCAAGAAACAAGCGTCGTTATCATAAGATGCACACTTGCCAATTTATTTATCCATAATGTCTATCAGTATAACGCATTTTCAAATTCGACAATTAAAAATTTCCGTATAACTAAATGTTCACAATTGTTAAATTTTCTGACAAAACACACGAGTGAAAGCCAGCTATTAATTAATGAGGCAACATAGAAAATTTCAATGGAATAAAGCCTAGCAGACATCAAAAATTGTTTTTATGCAAGTCATAACGTCTCTTTAGTCATTTCATTTTTAATTGTTATGGACAGGTGAATGGTCAGGTTCCTACGTACTGAATAATTTTTATACATGATTTATATATGGCTGCTATTAGTTTTTCGTCTATTGATTACAATTTTTGTTAACACTCTGCACTATTTCATTTTTTGTGCTCTACGTAAGTTTGCTGTGTCAATAGGGTAGTCAGCCCACATTTTTATTGCTCCGTAAATTTAAATTCTTTATACGACTGTATAAGACGCACGATCTGACTACGCTGCATGTTAAAGTAGATCATCGGGATCATCGAAAACAACAAAAACATAAAACATCATAAAACACTACAAAAATTTGAAGCAATTCTTCTAAATTTTCTATTTTTTCTTTCATTGGAGGGTTTTTTTACCGGATCCGCCGGTTTTCCCTCCTATTTCGTTTTGGTTTGGAAAAAAAACAGTGTCCACATTCGGGGCCAAGTTGAGCCATTTGTCTAAAAATTATTTATCGTAGGTATCATGAATATTCACGTTTCTTTTCATTTCTTGGCTTTTGGGTACATCTCCCAAAACACTGCGTTTATTAAATACATTGGCATACATTTAAAAAAATTGGCACGCAATTCATACATGTTGGTAGCCTGCAATTATTTAGCTACTGAATGAAGTAGATTTAATAACATAGTCGAAATAAAATTTTGTATTTAATAATATTTTACGTCAAACTTTTCAAGATTTGAAAATGCCATTTAGTTTTATAATCAAGTACTTTTTCAACCCTGGAATCCAATGTTCTACCCAATAAAAATAGATTGGTCAAAGAGACCAAAAAAATTGGTCATTTGAATGCACATGAGAAAAACAATTTTTATAGGTCAAAACAACCAATTCCTAAATTGGTCAAAAATACCAAAAACAAGAATGGTTAAATTTACCAATATTTGACCAATTTTATTTGGTTGTTTTTACCATTAAATAAGCATTTTTTTCAGGTGCATATCCATGACCATTTAAGCAATATAGAGGATCTTTTTAACTAAACTAAAGAAAATCAATCACACACTTATAAATAGCACATTTTTTGCAAACACAGAATACTTAAAATCTCTACTACATGCCATTAATTAACACTACAAAAGTTTTCTACTTCATAGAAGAAATAAAATGATTGACAAAAGTTGGCAATTGAGCCTTACAATTGCATTTTGAATTTAAAAGCAAATGTTCTAAAAGAATAAATACATTTTTGCAATGTCCATTAACGCGTTTGGAATACTCAGCATTAAAAGTATAAAAAGAACTAAGTAAAATAATAACTGCGTTGACAATATTTTCCTTTTTCAGCTTTGCCACAATCATCACCTCTTCCACCAACATTATTGAATGAATGTTTCGTAATGTTCCTGTTGATAGGAGTCTAGGAGACAAACTTTTGTTAATGATCTCTTGAACTTCTCCCAAGCTTTTACCCTTCAACAGAGATCAAATTATTTATCAATTGTTTCACACATTTATGCAGAAAATATTATTTGTGACAAATTCAGCTCTTATAACAACAATGTCCCAAAATAGCTTTTTGTTCATATCTCGATGGGTGCATTGGTCATCTAACACATAAGACAAACATGCCATTATACACCGGTTCTTGACCTCTAAAATAATCAACATAGCATAGAATGAATATATTACCATCATCACTCTCTAAAGCATCAACACTTCAGTATAAATAGGGATGTTAACTTATTGATTTTCACACCAACCTTTCTCATCTTCAACTGGACAATCCTCCAGCTCTTCAAGGATACTGATGACACTCTTTTGCTTTTGTAACGTTGAGCCGTAGAACGGTTAGATTTGGATCATCATGTCCCTCGGTATATGCACTTGCGCCATGAAATCATACACTTGCCACGTATCATTATTATTGCATTATATTTAATCATACGAGTTTACATGGAATTTTGCTATGCTCTATTCATCTCTGGTCTTGTCTTCTATTCTATATTTTGTCGTGCATTTATATAATAACTAAAAGGAGTGTTCTCCGTCATATCCTGCACGTAATAGTGGGATGACTTAGTTCCTTCTAAGCGCGTTATAGTGCTTTCATGCTTTGTGGTCGGGCTTGTGTGGTTAGCTTGTAGCGCGTTGTTGTGCTTACTCACATCGTATATCCGTTGACGCACAACAACTATGACTAAGCTTGATTCGTCGCTACACTACCCCCTTCTTAGAGAAAGCATGTCCCATGCGCTGATAAACCTAGTATGTGATATATGTCTCCTAAATCATGCAAAATTCAAACAATTAAAATCATGTTGTCCAGAATATTCAGTTTATGTCTACGTCAAAATCTGCCATCCATCCGGGAGCTCGAATTTGACGCCGTGGTCGGGACAATGAAGGTTTCCGTTTCTCATGTATGGGTAGTTCGCCCTCCCGTATTGGGTTTGTGTACTCGAAGACAGGTGAATCGCGGGTATACATAAGATCAGTTTCGTCCGGAACGTAACGCTGCTCGTTGACACGATGTTGGTCATCTTCATGAACACTCTGTCCACGCGTTGCTTGAGGGTGACTATTCTCCACAGACTTGATTGTGCAATGTTTCAACCAATTGTAGTGCGCAATTTGCTTTCTTCCTTCTCTATTCTCTGCCCCAATCTTGTAATTCAGGTCAGAAAGTTTGTCAAGGATGACAAACGGTCCTATCCATGGCGATCATAACTTGCGTGACTCGCCTTGTTTCGTTGCGGAATTGAGAAGCCTAACACGATCGCCGATACCAAAACCATCACCGGTACTGCGAGCGTCTTAATACCGCTTTTGCCGCTTCTGTGCTGTTTTCAGATGTTCACGAGCTAGATCGTGCGCTGCCACGAGGCTGTCTCTCAACTCCTCGACGTACGCGTGCACATTCTTTGATTTGTCAGGAGTGTTTCCGAACATCACATCTGCAGGTAAACGGATTTCTCGTCCAAACATTAGCTGGTATGGAGTAAAGCCAGTTGATTCCTGCACACTCGATCGGTAAGCCATCATTACTCTGGGAAGATGTACGTCCCAATCTTTTTGATGTTTTGCTACATATTTGGAAAGCATCGCTTCAAGAGTTCTATTAAAGCGTTCAATCATTCCATCTCCCTCCGGGTGATACGCCGATGTGCGAGTCTTAGGGATTCCCAAAAGCCTACACACTTCTTGGAATAGTGAAGACTCAAAATTCCTACCTTGATCTGTGTGGATGGTATCTGGTGCACCAAAACGGCAGATGAATTCGTTTACCAACTTTTCCGCAACTGTATATGCTTCTTGGTTTGGAATGGCATAACTCTCCGTCCATTTTGACAAGTAGTCGCCAACCACCATGATGTATTTGTTGCCGTTTTTAGACACTGGTAAAGGTCCCAGTATATCGATTGCAATTCGTTCTAAAGGATAACCAGGGGGACAACTTACCAGTAGTGCCCGATTCCCTTTTGTTGCACCCTTACCTACAGTGCACTTTTCACATTTCATCAACCATTCTTCGACATCTTGACGTTGACCAGGCCAGTAAAATCTTTGTCGTACTTTCGAGAGAGTTTTGTTATGCCCAGGTGACCGGAAGTTGGACTGTCGTGCAGACTTCTTAACACATCGCTCACTAAACAACGAGGTACTACAAACAGGGGCTCCGTCGTTGTGCCATCGTCATTTTCATAACGACGATACAAAACACCGTCACGAATTTCCAAAACGTCCCAATGTTAACACAAATTGTGCACAGCTCGGCTTAATCCTTTTAGTTCTTCTTTTCGTGGAGGATCTAGCTGGATCTCCTTCTTAGACAACACATAGCAAATCGTAGGGTTAGCTAACTGTAGTGATCGTAACTCAGCGGACGTCCACGTGGGACAACAAGCTTCCTCAGAATTCGTCCGTTTTTCAAGTTTTATATTTCCTACGTTACGAACTTCGATAGACGGGTTGGGCCATCGTGACAAACAGTCCGCATTTCCATGTCGCTTCCCAGGTCAAGATTGCACCTTAAAATCAAATTCTCCAAGTTTTTCTAGCCAACGTGCTACTTGCCCGTTTGGTTCTTTAAAGTTCGTTAACCAACGTAAGGCGTCATGATCCGTTCTCGCAATGAAACGCAGTCCGTACAGATAATGCCGAAATTGTTGGGTATAGAAAACTAAAGCCAACATTTCTCGTTTCATCACTGAATAGCTACGCTCACTCTTGCTCAATGTTCTACTAGCGTAAGCAATTACCTTTTCCTCGCCATCTTGTATTTGAGACAGAGCAGCACCGATGCCGAAGTCACTCGCGTTGGTGTCAAGAATAAATTCCCCGTCCGATCTTGGATAGCCCAATACCGGTGCGTTCACTAAACACGTTTTAAGCTCTGCGAATGCACGATCACAGGCAGTAGTCCACACAAAGTTTTTCTCGTTACCAACAGTTAATGCATGATGTAATGGAGCTGGAATTGCTGCAAAATTCTTGATAAATCGGCGATAGTACGAAGCTAAACGGAGAAAACTCCACAGCTCTGTTTTCGCGAGAGGTACCGGCCATTTTGTCACCGCCTCTACTTTGCGAGGATCTGTGGCGACCCCCTCCTTAGAGATGACATGACCCAGAAAAGGCACAACTCTCCGAAAGAGTAACATTTCTGCGGTTTAAATTTTAGTCCTGCGTCGCGAAGCCTCTCAAGAACCATCCGCAATCGTTCGAGGTGCTCTTCAAACATCGTACTAAAGATAATAATATCATCCAAGTACACCAGGCATGTTGACCATTGAAGACCTGCTAAGACAGATTCCATCAATCTTTGAAAGGTGCCTGGTGCACCTGTTAATCCAAATGGCATTACACAGAACTCGAACAGCCCTTGAGGTGTTGCAAACGCCGTTTTTTCTTGATCGGACAGTTCCACTTCTGACCAATATCCACTAGCAAGGTCTATAGTTGAAAAGTACTTTGCTCCGCTCAGAGCATCAAGAGTCGAATCAATCCTTGGCAACGGATATGCACCCTTTTGCGTTACTTCATTAAGGTGACGATAGTCAACACAAAACCTTGTGTTCCGGTCCTTCTTTTTTACCAGCACAACTGGAGAAGCCCAGGGGCTGGAAGAGGGTTGAACTATACCGTCTTTCAGCATCGACGCCAAATTCTTATCCAACTCGTCCTTCGGGTGAATGGGAACCCGCCTTGGGGACTGTTTTATAGGAGGTGCATTGCCCGTAAGAATGCGATGTTTTACACGATTTGTTCTGCCAATGTCCGATAAATCTTTTGACACAACGTCCTCGAAGTCATTTAAAAGTTCGTTTACCCGAGATTTCTGTAAACTGCTAATGTCCGTATCGTCCCAGCTGAATAAATGTGACACTGCTGCACGAGATGCTTTTATCGATGTTGCTTTCGATTGCTTATGACGCTTACAGACGGATGTAATTTGACTATCGTTGGTATTAGACTTTAGAGAGTGGCTCACCTCACATTGAGCAAATGTCCCAAGTGTGCATCCCTTATGTAACACTACTGGCTCCGGAGAAGGTTTGAATAACCTGACAGGTGGAGCTTAGAAGAATTTATAAAAGGCGGACCCGACCAATGGATTGATCTTAAAGTTAAATTTTATGGAGTTGATTGCATTCAATTAGGTTGCCCTATTCTTGATGCGGGACTTGGGGCAAATGAGCGTGACGAGCAAGTGTTAAAAAAAAGACGTAAAAGTGGTAATAAAAGTGGTGTTGAAGATTATTTAGATTTGCGGATGGAGTATCTTGCTGATGGCTTTAGTTGTTTGGCTCTGTCTCCTGATGCCAGCCGTCTTTTGGCATGAAGCACTGATGGCGAACTGCTCTATTTGATGCTGACAGTTTAAAACTACTACAACGCGTTCGTGTTAACGATTATTATTCAGCAGTTAGAAAATGCTGCTACAATCCTGCATTTGCCTATGGGGAATTTGCAATATGTGATTGTTACGGGCTGTTTTGTGTGTGGCGCGTTTTAAATCTTTCTGACAATTTCAAATTAGCCCATCGAAAAAGGTTGGCAGTTCACCCAAAACGTCACAATTACTTTGACTTTTTTATTGATATCAGTTATTCTCCTGACGGAAAACTTATTGCTGTTACCACAGCTTGTCGACTTGATTACATTGTTAAGACGTTCATTATTGGCTCGCGTTCTGGTGAAATTTGCTATACGTTGGATTGCGTGGATGAACCTGATCAACAGTGTCTGAAATCTGAGTGTCTGACCTCGTTCTTTGGTAATTTGTGTCAAGCAGGGGCGGATCCAGCAATTTTCGTGACTGATGCACCACAGCGAGCGCCAAAGGGGCTAGCTCTGTAGGGGGTCTTGGAGGATGCCCACAGGAAAATTTTGTATTTTAGACCGTCGGGAATGCGATTTCCTGCGTTTTGACAACAGAATTTAAAAAAACTTGCCTCTACTTAGTTTGTAAGCATTTCGCAAATTTCAATGATATAAAATCTAAAATTCCACTAACCTTTAAACATTTTTGTTACTACTATAAGATTTATCAAGTTTCATACCTTCGCCAAAACTTACAATCAGGAAGGTATCATTCCAATCCACGAGTGATTTTGAAAAGGTAGAAGCTTGGCATATTTTTTGTCGTGAAACGCAAAGAAACCTTTTATATCTCACTAATGAAGCACAACTTTTTGACCATTAATCACACTTGATACCACTCGTCCAACAGCAACAGAAAAAGATACGTAGACATAGCAAAGAAATGTTCACGATGTAATCATCGTACCAAAGGCAGGCAACAAGTAATGATAAATGTCATTCTTCTTCTTTTGTTGATAATATCACACCTCCAACAACAACAAAAAAAGATACGTAGATATAGCAAAGAAATGTTCACGATGTAATCATCGTACCAAAGGCAGGCAACAAGTAATAATAAATGTTATTCTTCTTCTTTTGTTGATAATACAACTCCAACAGCAGCAGGAATTTGTAGAGTGCAGACGTACTATAAAAATATTGAAAACGTTAATCAGGTGAATTAAGGTCACTTATCTTCAAAAATATCAACAAACTGCATCCTGGTATGGTTTTGCCTGGCAAATGTGCCGATAATCTCTTCCACATCAACGCTAACGTCATTGTTAAAATGCATAATAGCCAGACCGTTCAATCTTTCGCTTGACATAGTGCTTCTCAACCACGTTTTCATTCGACATAAGGCCGAGACTGCGCGCTCACATTCACATGTAGTAACAGGAATTTGACTCGAATAGTGAGTTTGACTCTGTAATAATCGCGTAGTGTTGTAACTTTAAAGTTTTCTCTGTTCGTTGCCTGTTGCATATACGAGGTATAGACTTGGGATTGACGAGGTTTACTTCACGAGCTAGCTCAAGAGCAGTGTCATAAAAGATGTCGTGGTAAGTGGCAGCAGAAGAACATAGCCTGACAAGTTCATCTTTCAAAAGGTTAATCAATTTGATGTCGATTTTCCGTTGTTGTAACTGAACAGTCAAAGGTAACGTATAATCTAAAATATTTTGAATTATGACCTAAGAAACACAAATTCAACTGAAAATGGGCTTGTGCTCACTGGTTGCATCTTTGAACTCATTGTTGCTACCACCAAACTGCATGTAATCCAATGCATTGTAAATCACAGCATATGCATCCAGAAAACCATCAAGAGATTTTATTCTCTCTTATCAACGAGTTGTGGATGTCGGCTTCAACTTTTTGAATTTCAAGCCGTATTCCATTATTTTTTCGCTAAGATACTGTGAACGTTTTGGAGAGCTGCTGAAGAAGGACGTTATCTTTTGAGCTTGACCCAACATGTTTTTTACTAGCGAAAGTGAGCAAGCTTTGGCAACAACCAAGTTTAGACGATGACTGGAACAATGAACATATAGTGCCTTCGACCACATACGACCACATACGCCCTTTCTTAAACTGGGCATTGCACTAGCTCCATCGTATCCCTGACCTCTACAATTTATAAGAGGGAGACCAACGTTGTTTAATGTCTGTTCGATATTTTGGGATAAAACAAGACCAGTCGTCCCATTTTTGCAGTCAACAAAGCAAATGAATCGTTCGTTAACTTGTTTGTTCTGATCGACATAGCGTAGAACAATGGGCATTTGCTTTATATTTCCACAATCTGCTGCTTCGTCAGCCAGAACTAAGTAAATGGGAAGATTACTGTCGTTAATGGCAGAAACAATCTTGTCAGAAATTTGCTTCGCACAAATGGCGACAAGTTTGTTTTGAATGGTCTTGGAACGATAGGTTGCAGTCTTCTTAGACAGTTTAAAATGTTCCGCCAGTACTTTGTCTCCACTAGAAATTCTGTAATCAAGGAGGGCTTGAAAATTTCCCGGATTACTTGATGAATAATGGCTAGAATCATCACGATGACCTCTTAAAGCTAGATTTTGCCTGCCACATAAAATAACTGTCTCAACCATAGCACGCAGAATACATCGATTGTACTTAATCCTTTTGCTGAGGAGACTATCAGCTTGCTCATTTATACCATCAGCCTTTCCAAGCATTACTTCCTCAAAACAAGATGCACGCAGAACAGAGTCTCGGTGAACGGAAGATGCTCTGTCGTGATCTTCAAGTCTTTTCCCCGCGTTCTGCCAGTTGGTCAACTGCTCTTTAAAAAAATTGGTCAGTTTGTTACCATTGTGACCAGTCTCTTTTCCAAACAGTAAACATGGCAGACAAAATGCACCATCATAGAGTTTAGAATAGCACAGCCATTTCCATTGATGGAGCCACTGTTGCGAAAACTTACGACGCTTTGATTTTACAGAGCCAAACTCACGAAAATGAAAAACAAAAGATGGGGAGGCTTCCAATGATGTTGTAAAAGATTAAACTTCGTGTCATCATCAATATTTGCCAGACCAACAAAATTGCCAATATCTAATGGATCAACTTCACTGACATCAAGCCTTTTCTTCTTATGCGATTCAGTTTGAGCTTCCATCAAAATACGATCGCGTTTAAGTGTGCCTAAACATGAAGTTCGAGGAAGGCTAACACGACAAGACTGTTCTGCATCATTGATATTTGCACTTGATGAAGAAGTCAATCTATTTTGGGAGCCACTTGTGAAAACATCAGTGATTATGACTTGCTTTTTTGGAGCCTTTGATTTTATTATTTCCTCCACGGATTCTTTTACATAAAAGGGTATCAAAGGCCCAAAATGATTTACTTTGAAAGACGTTTCCAGGGCTGGCAGAGAAGATGCACCATATGCTGACCAAAGAAACACCAGTTCTGGTGTTTGCTTAGCATCAGCATGTTCAAATAGAGAATGCTCAACTCGAGGAAGAATCTGACCATTCAAAAATTTCGCATATTTGCTTGTCTCTCCCAGGGTGTCAGGATAAACTGAGCGTACTTTCATACCAGTAACAGATGAAAGAGCAAACATGCATAGCAGGGAGGAGTAGCAACAGTTACTTGCATTTCTTATAGCTTCGCGAGTAACAACCTGTGATCGTGAGGTTTTATCATGTCGGTCATAACCATCACCCAGTGCAACATCAGATGCTGCTGCAGAGAAAACCATGTTATCACTCTCAAACACATCAGCTTTTTCCTTTAAATATGGATGGAATGAATAAAACTGTGAGCAGCTGAACAATTCAATGCTTGTGAGACCTTGCAACAAAGACTGCAAGTCTTCCTTACCAGACAGCTCCTTAGAGCACGCTCTATATAAGCAGTTACCATCACCTCTAGTTCTACACAAGCAATAAAATTAGAAAGTCTATTGAATAAAATCACTATTGACTCTATGTTGATAATAAAAAGCCTTTTAGGGGAACATTCATCAAGCCTTAAAGTGTAATTTTTTAAGTTGCCTTTAACAATCCATAAATATTTTTTTAGATAATTGAATCTAAGCATGGTAATGCCAGTGCTATACTTTCCCAACCAAATTCATGAGACCAGCTTTCAAGAGGAGTATAAGTACGTACCTAATAGCTAATACTATGTGCCCTCCTAGCTTTAATCAAATAGCAATGGTGAGGACTTCTATACATATGGATCAGGATGCACATATGCACATATGCAAAAATAAAATATGGTGATGTAATATACAATGAAATATGTAAAAGTGTTACAATATAGAACTGTTGCTCTAATATCTTTATGTACAGTGGGTAATTTTGAGATCATAATAATAATGTAAAGACCATACAGTAACATCATATCTATGTAAATGAAATGCTTTGCTGTGTACCCACCCTTTTATGATCATAATCTTTTAGGGTAAATTTAGAAATTTGGCACACTGTGAATAATTGTAAATGAGAGCACACACTCAAAAAAACATCTTGTAAACTCAAGATTTCAGTTATAACAGCAACAGAGAAGATTCAAAGCAATATTTCAACTACATATGAAAGTCATTATCAAGCTTATCGTGTTCTTTGCATTCATTTAAAGTTTCTTAAAACATGCCTAACACTTGAAATGTTTTGGAAAAAATCAAAAATGAGAAAAAAGCTCAAAAAATTTGTCTTACATTTTGTTGAGTCATGCTCATAAACCACAGAAACATTTTAAGGAAATAGTATGTGTGTAGTTTGGTTTATCAATGTATCCGCTCCCACACGGCTAACAGCCAAGGAACAGTTATTGACGTTAGTTAAATTTCCTTATGTACCATATATAGCTTAAATAGAGGAACTATTTCGACCAATAATAATATTTGTTATTTGTAATAAAGAATATAAATACTGCTCTGTAAAATATTAAAATCAGTTCGATCATTAAGTTCACTCGTGGTTGTTACTGAAGGTATAGAGTATATTACGAACAGAGATATGGCGAGTAACACGAACTCAACAGGTTATGAGCCAGGGGGGGGGTTTGCTCTTCGATGGAAGCGAAAGCAAATACGAGTTATGGGAAGTAAAATTGTTGGGCTATATGCGTCTTTAAAAACTGTACGACGTATTTATCGAATCAACAAAGTGAGAGAGAAGAACCAGCAGCTTCAAAACTGACACTTTTGCAAAGTTGGTTCAATCTCTGGACGACAGAAGTTTGTCTCTTGTGATTCGGGAGGCAAAAGACAATGGACAGAGAGCTTAAGAATTCCTCAGACATCACTATGAAGGCAGAGAAAAACCTTGAATTATCGCTCTTTACACGGAACTCACTTCGCTGAAGAAAAAAGACGACGACACTGTCACAGATTATATATTGCGAGCGGAACGATCGGCAACAGCCTTAAGAGAAGCCGAGGAGATAATAAGTGATGCACAACTCATTGCAATGGTTTTAAAGGGTCTGCCAAGCACGTACAAATGTACGACGTCTTTGCTACCGTAACAGTTCAAAGGGAAAGACAAAATGATATTTACGGAATTTAAAAACTTGTTACGAAGTCATGAAGAAAATATCAAACCATTGTCACCAAAAACTGAGGTAGGTGACAACGTTATGTATGCGAAACCAAAATTTGACGAAAATTGCTTCAAATGTGGAAGAAAGGGACACAAAAGCTCACAATGCCCAGTGAAGGGGAACAAATGGTGCTCTATATGCAAGACCAAGACCCACGACACGAAAGATTGCCCAAAGACGAAAGAAACGTCCAAGTCAGCTAAAGACGAGCAGCTCTGTGACAGTGAAGGGAAACACTTCTATTCATTCGTGTCAAAGGATGAAGAAGAGAACGCTGAAACAGACGTGGAGGATAAGGATCAAGCGAATTTAACTCAACTGGTGGACACAGGAGCTACAAGTCACATTATTAACGATAAGTCAAAATTTATAGATTTTGATAGTAAATTTGATAGTAAAGTGCATGTTATTGAATTAGCAGATGGCAGTAAAGCCAACGTAGAAGTCGGTGAAGGCACTGCTGAAGTCAAATCAGTTGACTTGCATGGAAATGCGCAGGATGTCTTATTAAGTAATGCCTTATATGTTCCATTTTACGATCAAATTATATTCTCAGTAAATGCTGCTGTAGAAAAGGAGGCAAAAGTCAAATTAGATAAACACGATAAGCATGTACAGTGACCTGATGGCACAACGTTTGGAATAAGACAAAAAGGCAAACTTTACTATGTAAATAGCTTATCATCTTCAAATAAAAATGCATGTTCTCTTTACGAGTGCGCACAAGGTTCTAGGTCACTGCAACTACAAGGATGTTAGGAAACTAGAGAAGGTGGTTAAGGGGATGAAAATCGCAGACTTGAGGGAAGTTGAGTGTGAGGTTTGTACGCAAGGTAAAATGTGTCAGGCGAAAAGTAAGCTGCAAGATAAAAAGGCGAGAGGTCCTCTTGAATTTATTCACACGGATCTTGCAGATCGTATTGATCCGGAAGAAAGAGAAGGGTTTAAATATTCATTGTCGTTTGTGGAAGATTATTCAGCATTGAATATGGTCTATTTCTTAAGCATAAAAGCGATACACCACAAGCATTAAAACAATTTTTAGCAGATATTACAACTTACGGAAATATGAAGCGCATAAGAAGTGATAACGGCACTGAATTTACAAAAGAGAAATTCAAATCGATTCTTAGGGAAAACAAAATTAGGCATGAAACTAGTGCATCAAATTCGCCACACCAGAACGGCAAAGTTGAGAGATTGTGGTTAACTTTATTTAGCATGGCCAAGTGTCTATTGCTGGAAGCGGAACTACCAAAATCCATGTGGACATATGCCGTCATGGCATCTGCTTATATTAGGAATCGTTGTTTTAATTCGAGGTTGAACAAAACTTTGTTCGATGCGTTTACAGGCTCAAAACCAGACTTGAGCAAAATGCACGTTTTTGGTTGTGTTTGTTATGGTTATTCACAAAACTCCAAAAGTTAGACCCTTGAAGTAAACAAGGTATTCTCGTAGGGTATGATAAAAATAGTCCAGCATATCTACTATACTATCCTGACATTAACAAGGTAGAGCGTGTAAGATGCGTTAAGTTCTTCATGGAGGGTAGCAGGGAACTGCCAGAACTAGATGATGAGGAACTTGCACCTCAGATAGCAAAATTGCATGAAAGAAACCCCAAAACAACTAACGAAGACATTAGTACTCCAGAGACATCTAGAGAATAAAGATACCACACTAGGATAAGAAGTAGGAGTAAATATCTTGAAAAGTATGTGACAGAAGAAGATTCAGGGGAGGGTACTGTCTCATATACTGTAGATTATTGCTATAGAGTATCCAACATCCTAACGACCTATTCCCAAGCAATAAGCTCCAATGAGAAAATAAAATGGCAAAAAGCCATGAATGATAAAATGAAAGCGTTAATTGACAATGATACGTTTGAACTTCTTCCACCCCCAACAAATACAGACATAGTGGAGGGAAAATGGGTATACACCGTAAAATTATAGAACATTTTGTAAAATAGTAGCGAGAGACTTGCCGAGCGAAAATTGAATTCGTGTAATAAAAATTAATGCCCAACACAAAGTTTTGATTAGAGCCATAGAAATAGACCAAAATTATTGTAAAACTGAATTTATTGTAACGTTTCGTCTTTACTCAAGACATCTTCAAGCAAATAATAAATAGGATGTTAAGACAAGATATTATATTTACAAAATGGTGTTAAATTACAACTAAAGGAGGCGGTGTCAAATGGATTATATGATAAGGAAGTTAGGAAGTAAAATAAAGAGAAATTAAAAGAGGTTAAGTGGAATGGAGTTTCCTTGCACGTTAAGTGAAGGCTTGCATTCATTGATGAGAAGGCTCTCATGAATGGAGAGTTCATGAGAATCGTTATAAGAGGAAATAATTTTAAAGTCATCTAAAATGGGGGTGTGTCCAGTTGCGTTAATGTGAGCAAAGATAACGCAGGGTGGGAAACTTGGTTGCCTGTAAGGGGAGATATTCCCAAGGGCTCCGAAAATCTGGTGTGTAGATGACGTGTGGTTTGACCCAAACAAGAGGCGTGGCAACTTCGACACTTGAATAAATAGACTACACCAGACTAATTTTCTCCTTAAAGGGGAAGAAAGAAGAGATACGTTGGGAAGGGCGGAAAAGAACTTTTGATTTTTGTACGAATTTGAAGGGGGTGTATGCCGGTGAAAGGAAGACAAAAATAGATGTGCATTTTGTGAGCAGTCAAGACAGGTGGTTTGGAGGTGTTGTTAAGGAAGCGACGTGTGATTTGGTCAATTATACGTGAAGGAAAACCGTTTTTGGTGAGTGACTTTCTGGTAAATTCGAGTTGTGTATGAAAATTTTCGTAAGTAGAACAAAGGTTGAAGATGCGGTGACCACAAATGCGGTGACCACACGTCATCTACACACCAGATTTTCGGAGCACTTGGGAATATCCCCCCTTACAGGCAACCAAGTTTCCCACACTGCGTTATCAAGAATCTTAGCTCACTTTAACGCAACTGGAAACACCCCCAACTTAGACGACTTTAAAATAATCTCCTCTTCTAACGATACATATGAACTCTCCATTCATGAGAGCCTTCTAATCAATAAATACAAGCCTTCACTTAACGTGCAAGGAAACTCCATCCAACTTAACTTCTTCTAATTTCTCTTTATTTTACTTCCTAACTTTCTTATCATATAATCCATTTGACACCGCCTCCTTTAGTAGTAATTTAATATCCTTTTCTAAATATATTATTCTGCCTTAACACCCTATTTATTATATCTTGAATAAAGACGAAACGTTACAATAAATTCAATTTTACAATAATTTTGGTCTATTTCTATGGCTCTAATTAAAACTTTATGTTGGGCATTAATTTTTATTACACGATTTCGTAAAAGCACTATTGCTAATGCGCATTTAATATAAACGACAAGTTTTTTTAAAATAGACATGTTTCGACATTTCATGATGTCATCTTCAGTATGAGTGAAATAATAAGTGATACAAGGTTTATGTAAAAGTAATATGATACATAAATTACAACAATAAAAGGAAATAAGATAAATTAATGGGGAGCGTCCGAACGTATTATAAATTCAATATAACAATATAATTAATATAATAATATAATTAATAATAATAATAATAATAATAATTTACAACTTATCGACAAACATTTCCAACCAAATACTATACTCTCCAAGATATTGACACACAATACGCGTAAGCTACAGCTGCGGCGAAAACATGAAAACTTTCATAACCAGACACAACAAGACTATTTTAAAAAGACTTAACCCAGACACAACCCAGAACAAGAACAACCCACCAAAGAAATGTAACTGCAGACAGAAACATCTATGCCCGACATATGGAAATTGCCTGAAACCCAACGTGATTTACAAAGCCGACGTGACAACGACTGACAACAACGAAACAAAAACTTACATAGGTGTTACTGCATGCGCTTTTAAGACACGATATCGAAACCACATTAAATCAATTACGAACATTAAATACCGGAACGAGACAGAACTTTCTAAATACACGTGGACACTGAAAGAAAACAAACGTAACTACAACATTAAATGAGACTTCATCAAACAACTTCCACCTCCAAACAAAAACCAAAGAAACTGCCGTCTTTGCCTTGAAGAAAGGCTACTTATCCTGAAAGGACGTAAAAAGAACATTTTAAATAAACGTTCCGATATGTTTAGTGCATGCCGTCATGTAACTTAACACCTTTTAGTCGATGTATATAGTCAGCAAATAATATATAATCTGTCAGTTGCCTGAAGATCGCCCTACGGCGTGAAACTCCGAGTAGCGACAGCAAACAATTGTCCATTTTATTTTAGTTCATTTTATCTTACGCTCTTCTAATATATAGAATATTGAGCGCTCTTTTAAATATATATAATATATTTATGTTATGTGCCACTTGGGACACAGAACCGTACGTCCTGTGTCCCAAGTGCAGGAGTCACCATTTTATTATGGTGATAGCCGGGAGGGCACATTGTTATACACTTTGTATATATATATTTATATACATATTATTAATATTATTATATTAATAATAATAATAATAATATTAATAATAATAATATAATAATAAATTCAATAAATTCAATATAATAATATAATTAAGTCAATACAATATTTAGTTTATAATACGCTCGGACGCTCCCCATTAATTTATCTTATTTCCTTTTTATTGTTGTAATTTATGTATCATATTACTTTTATATAAACCTTGTATCACTTATTATTTCATTCATACTGAAGATGGCATCATGAGATGTCGAAACATGTCTATTTTAAAAAACTTGTCGTGTATATTAAATGCGCATTAGCAATAGTGCTTTTACGAAATTATCCATGAATATCATATTTAAAGATATATGAAAGTTAAAAAGTTAATTTTCCAAACTTGATTCGAGCTAGTTCCAAAATCTCACCAAAATCAACAAATTTATCTTTATAAAACATTTACATACGTACATAACGCGGAAGTAGAATATTTTACAGAAAAACAAAATAATCGATAAATGGACATGAAACATTAAATCACAAAATCAAAATACAATATAAAAACGACAGGTAAAGTTTAAAATCAATATACCTTCACAAATTCAGAAAGATTACAAGACACAACCAACTACATGATATCTCAGCTGCTGCGTTCTAGTCGATTCTGTGGAATAATTTAAATGATTTACGTTTCTGGTCACGTGAGATATGTCACCCTACCCATAGGAAAAAGGCTCCTACAATATACCGGAAGAAAAACCCCTTTCGTTTCACCAACCTAACAAATCACCCATTTGTCTTATGAGACGTGGCTAAAAGCAGGTAAAGTACGGGTACAAAACGTCGGCTGGTAGTCGTGGGAGATACATACGTTGTACTTTAGTCGTTAAACTTATGTTATTGTTTCATTGGTAATATCGATAATATTTTCTGATTTGTGATTTTCTTTCTGGTAATTTTAAAAGATGCCAAGGTACACCAAATAACATCCTTATAGCTGTTAGACTTTTCAACATTTATTTTCATTTTATAGATTTTTATGATAATTTTTGTAGGAGCAATAAAAGGTTTAAAGCAACTGTAGCTGTCACATATCATGATGAGGATGGCCATGTTGAGAGAGAGGAGATGCATTTGTCAGAATTGGTTACTGAGGATCATAGAGGAAGCTGTTCTTTTAACATTCCTGATAATTGTGGTGCATTGGAAGGCCATGAACTGGGAATGGAACAAGATAACAGTGATCTTGAAAGTGATGTTCACCATGATTGTGAAGAATCATCTTTTTATTACCAGAAAGTTGAAAGAAAACAAAAAACATGGGAAAATTTGGGACATTCAATAATAAAGAATACATTTCAGTTTGCTGGCAATAATGAAGCAAAATTTAGGTGCAGCGATTGTGGTCCAATGGCAAAGTATTGTGAGAACTGTATGTTAAAGATGCACACAACCGTAAATATTTGTCATCATGTTGAAATATATAAGGTAACCTTTATGAGCTAGATATTATAAAAGTGTTTACAGTTAACTCTCTCAACACTTGCAACAAAAAATGCAAAAATAAAATGAGAGTTTACATTGTGAAACATGCTACGAATCACTAATCTAATATTTTTATGAATGCAGGAAAGGGGATTGATTACAACTAATTTCTACGAGGTTATTCATTGCTTTGTAGGATGGCATGTTTTGGCCATATAAACTCATGAACATGCTGGTGTATGATTGTTCATGCCAAACAGCTCGTCACAAAAGAAGTGTTTCTGTTGTTGATGTTAAAGGTATGTTAAATGTAAAATGTGCTGCAAAAGTTTTTTCATTTTAGCTGGGATGGTTCAACACAATTATAATTTTGGATGTTTTTCAATTTTTAGGCAGATTTTGTACTGTTGAGGTACACTTTTGCTCATGCTCTCCAGAGTTTGTTCAACTTCTGCAATTTGGCCTTTGGGGTGGAACACCTACAAAACCAAGAATTGCATTTGCAATTGAGTTTTTTTTAATTGATTCATTCTGTGCAGATGGAATGCCAGGCATCAATAAAAAGCATTTGTCAGTCATTTGAAGAGTTTAATCATAACCACATATTCTCTTCTTATGCAACACCAAAAATGTATCCTGTCATTATAGATGCTTTTGAAGAATATAGGTAACTGCATGTAGGTCACTGATTTATTGCACTGCTGTACTATATGAATTGCTGGGAAAGTTGCAGTCAATTTTATAGCCTAAGAATCTCATCTTAAGAGATGTATTTAATTGGAGGAAATCAAAATGCTAAAGTTTATGATGGGAAAGGATTTTTCCTCAAGTATTACTGTCTTGCACTGTATTTTGTTTATGTCATTTGTTTAAGAGTGCATAATTGCTTTCTTTGTGTCATTGTTTTTCAGAATTTACAGACATAAACTAAACATGTTGAGCTGTGTTATTCCTGAGCTTGATGAAGGAAATATCTGTCCTACTTGTCCCAAAGTGAGTATATTCAGTATTACTTGTTTAACAATGACAATTTAGTAAAAGAACATTAGCAATGCTATCTCAAACAGCTTTTTGACTGCATCATTTGCATCATTGAACTCAAATACATTGCATGATTTTATCCTTCACCATTTTATTGAAGACTGATGGTGTGATCTTTGAGTCTCTTGATGCTCTATTTATTGGAAATTTTACAAGTTGTTGCTGTGTTTTCATTTTCTGGTAAAATCCCTTTTTGTAATGTATTCCAAAACTGTGGTAATACATATGCCAGGTTAACAACATTATCTGAGATCCAACATCCAAGTACAATCCGTGAGTATGCGCTGTAATGTGTGGGATTGCTTAGGTATATTGATGAAATATTCTTTGTGGTTGGCTTAGAAAATGATAGCATGCTCTTGAAAAGGCATAGTTATAGCTTGATATAGCCATCATAATCATTACAACCACGCCACAAACATTGCTACATGTTTGAATGGATACGCTTTGGAACAATTGTCTGTGCACTTGTGTCCTCCTCTAACCCGCATCTGCTATCAGGATCATGTGTCATTGTTACTGAGTAGTTGGCTATGCTGTCGCAAATATTATGTGCCTTGATGAATTTATCTAAAATGTGTAGAAGAGTGTTAGAAATTGCCAGCCTAATGAATCCCCATATGTAATGTTTTTGTCATTAGTGTCTACATAGCAAAGTACCTAATGGTTTCGGTGCAAATCATCTCCAAGGAAAGTGTTGCCATTGCTTTTTACCAACATTTATGGCAAAACAGAATTTTGAAATGAATTCATATTTAGCATGGTGTTGGGCTGTTGTGGGTGGTTTTGTTCCATTGAGGTACACATAATATGTATCTGTTTTCTTTTGGTTTAGGTTTTTGTCAACCAGCATATGTGGTCACTTGACACCCATCTGTCAACACATAACCTGGACATCTCATTGGATGACAATTCTCGTTCTTTCATAATCTCACTGTATGGGGTTCTGTACAAAAGCTTCTGAAAGGCTGTAATTGAAGCAGCTGATGGATGTTCCACCACCGTGTCTGGTTTGTTCAATAGTCGTGAAAACCAGGCAATTTCCTCTTCGACTTCTACTTGTATGCTTTTTAAGGTGTGAAATTTCTGCAGATTGGTGATGCAATTGATATCTAACCTTCCTTGTGATGTGTTCATACATGCTCCTTTGCTTGTACTTGATGCCTCAACTATTTTTCTCCATTGTTGCAACTGGTCCATACTTGGCATAGATGTTACATGGCAAGGATCAACAACTGAATCATCATCTGTACTGCAATTTACACCTTTGGTAAACCATTTAGCAATCTTTGGCAACAAAGTCTCAAAAGCCTGACCTCTAGTTAGCTTGCTCAGTACGGGCTCTATCTTTTTTGAAGCTTTTTTGAGAGACAAAACCTCCAAATAAATTATGTACATATAATTAACAAAACTAATTTCCATTTCAATATTATGAATTTTTATTGCAAGACTTTAATCCTATGTCATGTAAGGGCCTATATTCATGTTGCCTAGCACCCCCATTCCCATTGCACTGCAAAGGTCTGAACTAAATAACCTAAATAACTGCATAAAATTTGCAAGTAGTGCAATGCAGTGGAAGTTCCGGGGTAAGTCAGAATATGTTTATGTTTAGGAGCTTATTATAAATTTAAAATACTATAATAACAACACTGCTGATATTGTTATCATTATTACCAATGATTTCCAAAGTATTGCCAATACGGCAGTTGTCAAGTAGTTTCATGTATTCTGACTTACTCTGCAGCGAAAGTGTTTGCAGTTCAATTAATGATGTGCATATGTTTAGTATGATGAAGCAATTAAACTTGCAATACCTTCGTATTGTTATTCCACATACTGCTTTTCACGAATAATAAAGAACTTAAAACCTTAAGATATTTAGCTTTATTATAGAGCAATACAATGGAAGGAGAACAAGAAAGTTGACAATGCGCATACGATGATGTTTTTTTACAAAAAAGTTAAAGTGGGTAAAATCGTATTTCGCGGCAAGACGATAAAACAATTCGCGCGAGTAACGATGGTGACATTTAATATTTATCTTTCAGTTCACGTTTCATGTGACAAATTTCAGTATGGCTTCTGTGCTCCGATCTCTCGATTTAGCTGCAAGTGCCAAATCGTTGGTATCTTATAAAGTGATTCTTCTGATGAAGAGGGAAGTAATAATGATAAATCTAAAGAAGATGAAAAGTCAATCGAGAGCACTGTCAATATGGATGCTCTAAAATCTAAGTTTCTTTTAAACAGCGCGCCAATTGTTGATGCTAAGGTAAAGTGTAATAGTTTTTATTCCCAAAGTCCTAAATAGGCAACTACCAACACCAAGGCTAAATCTATGGTACAATTTGCTATGCTTTAAAGGGAGGAATTGATTGGAGAAGACACATCGATCCTTCAATGAAAGAAGTTACATTTAATGCAAAGTATGACGAACTCTTTTCTGCTTCGGTACGTTAATAATTTAATCATTGGCACCATTTACATGCACATGGACAAAATCATGATTTTGAAGAAGTCTACTATTTTAGGTTGGACCTCAAAATCCATTTAAAACGAAGCAGCAAAGAGCACATAAAAATATGTCGTCTGGCTATGTTGAGCCATCTCAAATCAGTAAATTTCAATTTGATAATCAACTAAAAACATTCTCAAGTTACGGTAAGAGCAAAAGCAAGAACTGTTTGAGAAAAAATGTATTTGTTAATGAGTTATGTGTGATCTTTTTGTTTTTAATAAATCACAGGTTATGCATTAGATCCAAGTGATGACACAGCTCACATTGAAGAGAAGTTAGTTACAATATATGTATATAATGTTGTTACAATGTGCTTATAGCATAACTATGATATAGCATACATCTTCAACGATAGTCATGTTTGTGCAGGAACGCACTTCTCTCCAAAATTTTATGTGTTTTACATTGTGGGGAGGATTTATTGTAGTGTAGATTGATACTAAAACCCAATACAAACCAACTTTTTCATCCTTTATTAGTTTCGACTAACTTTTATACATAATTCACAATATGTAGAGGGTATTAAACACTCCTACATCAAACATGTTCCTCTGTGAATGCATCAAGTCTGAAATAGAATAATGCTGAAGTATTATATCACTCAATTACTTTGAAATGATTCAAGCTGATAAATGTTTATTTGAGTGGAATATGATGAATGTGCTTTGTCATGAAATTACCTTAAAACATAATGTAGTACATGGCTCTTAATTATTAGTAAATAGGCTTGGTAATGTTTTATGTTTATATCAATTGTTATCCATTAAGATTTGTTGGGGATGTTGAGAAAGCAAAGGATAGCAAGGGATTGACTGTGTTTGAAGCTACAAAACAGCGGTGGGAGATAAGAGGAAAAGAGATAGGGAGATCCTGGTGTGATTGATGGATACAAGGGTACGATTACTAAAATAATCATAACTTTTGAAAGGTTGTCCTACTATCTCTTATTCTCTGTTATCCTATAGGACCATGGAGTAAGTTTGTTGATGAAGAAACTATTGCTAAACCATCTGAAGTATTTCAATTACCCAAATAAAGAGTTTTATAAACATATTTTTCAAATGAAACAATTATTTTTCTGGCGTTTTACCTTGGTAAATACAGGAAGAGTCAACAATCCTTGAGGAGTATGAATTATCAAAGAAATACAAATCAAAGAAAGATGATATGAAACCTTCAGAAGAGAAATCCACATTACACAGTAAGTTAAAATTTTCATACTTTCTTGTAGTTTCCTAAACTTTACCAAATGTAATTATTTTTCAGTTAATGATGCATATATGACTGTCAAGGAAGATCATATCTTCACATTCCACAAGATCTTGGCATTAATCTCAAGTGAGATACTCCTCCAGAACATGCTTTCTACCAAAAGAACATATTCATACGTGGTATGTAAACAATTCTCCATTTAGTTCATTTATTCAAAATCAAAAAATGAAAGTTAAAATACCAGAAATGACGTTAAACACGATATTGAATTTTAGTTGTTCTTGTATTTGTTTGTTTTCTGTTACTTTACTGTTAAACAAAAACGGAAGAAATATGAAAGTTTACTTACTAAAATGTAATTAGAAACGCCATGGAACGTCTGACTTAAAGTCATCAACATGCTTTAAATTTTGTAGATTTTAAGGAAATCACGCAATAATTGAATTAAGTTTAAAGACAGTTTATGATATAATTCTTGATGGTATTGAGGAACTTCAATTATACATTACAGTATTCATTAGAGAAAGCGTCTCATCCAAATATAAACTTAAAATATGAGCGTTTTTTTACTACGATGCTTCTCTTTGAGTCAAGACGTTTAGGTGATCATTTGATATGTTTATAAAATCATATTTATCAGTGTATTATTTATTATAAAGTAATGATTTGTTCTAGTACTACGTACGTATGTTTGTAGATATTGTATTGGACTTCCTTAGCACTTGTTTTAAGAAACACGGCTAACCTGACATTTACTTATGATTTGACTCTGAAGATGACTACTGCTAAGGTTGTCGAAACGTCAGTCAACATCAACAGTAACAGTCCTTCACAGGACTCTACTAACCTCGACAAAAACGTAACAATACTTCCTGATGCAATTATTCACTTTATTCAGCACTTTTTAATAACATTTAAGTATTTGTTTTCCTGTAGTTCATCCTTCTACCGTCGTGATAAAAGAAAGCAATGGAGATATTCTTACTTATGTATTATTGTATTATTTTATCTTTCTCTTAGGTCTGGTCACACTAAAGGTGTTTCTGCAATAAGATTCTTTCCGAAATCTGCTCATCTTCTTCTGTCGTGTAGCATGGATTGTAAAATTAAGGTAAAAGTCATTTTCTCTGTCTTACATGTCGTTGTTCATTTTGAGTTTGGTTGTACATCGTTGAATGTTCCTCCAACATTACTGGAGGTGAGAATTTTAATAAATTACCATCACGACAAGCAATACATTTGAAACAATACATTTCCTTTCAGAAACTGCAAGATGATATTCATGTAAGCGCCAACGGCTCTGTTTTTGTAAAATCTAACATAAGACGAGGAATTTTACCCAGGTAATGTGGGATATTTCACATTCATTTGGTTACAGGTCACTTTTATTGATTCAAAAGATTGTTGAAAAATAACATTTGCATTTTGTAGTATATTTTGCAATGTACATTGCGTTCCTTCTTAAGTCTTTACTGTCCTAAATGGGTCATGATATCTTTGGCTATTATATGTTCAATAAGTTTGATTTATTTTAGAATGTTGGAGGAGATATTAGACACACGTATTATGGTAAAGAAAGCTATGAAAGATTGTAAAGATGATAAAGTAAGTTGGTTTTATTAAACCTTTGTTTTGAAGCGATCTTTGATGTTTTATAAGATCCAGTAGCTAAAACGTCATGTAGTTTTCATCATGTTCAAAAAAGATGCCTTTCCACTCTTCGTTTGTTTTCTTTAATCATTCAATATCATAAATAATTTACATTTTAGACTCTTCTTCAACTTCTTGATGCTCGACAACTTGCTTTAAAGTTGATTGCAAATGTCACTTATGGTTACACATCAGCAAACTTCTCAGGACGAATGCCGTGTGTTGAGGTAACTTTGATCTTGTCATGATAGAAATTTAAACAAACGATAGCTCTCCCCATTCCATCTAAACAGACCTTGTGCCGTAAACTTTGTATTCATGATAGAAATTTAAACAAACGATAACTCTCCCATTCCATCTAAACAGACCTTGCGCCTTAAACTTTGTATTCATGATAGAAATTTAAACAAACGATAACTCTCCCATTCCATCTAAACAGACCTTGCGCCGTAAACTTTGTATTCATGATAGAAATTTAAACAAACGATAGCTCTCCCATTCCATCTAAACAGACCTTGCGCCGTAAACTTTGTATTCATGATAGAAATTTAAACAAACGATAACTCTCCATTCCATCTAAACAGACCGTGCGCCGTAAACTTTGTATTCATGATAGAAATTTAAACAAACGATAGCTCTCCCATTCCATCTAAACAGACCTTGCGCCGTAAACTTTGTATTCATGATAGAAATTTAAACAAACGATAACCCTCCCCATTCCATCTAAACAGACCGTGCGCCGTAAACTTTGTATTCATGATAGAAATTTAAACAAACGATAACTCTCCCCATTCCATCTAAACAGACCTTGTGCCGTAAACTTTGTATTCATGATAGAAATTTAAACAAACGATAACTCTCCCCATTCCATCTAAACAGACCTTGTGCCGTAAACTTTGTATTCATGATAGAAATTTAAACAAACGATAACTCTCCCCATTCCATCTAAACAGACCTTGCGCCTTAAACTTTGTATTCATGATAGAAATTTAAACAAACGATAACTCTCCCATTCCATCTAAACAGACCTTGCGCCGTAAACTTTGTATTCATGATAGAAATTTAAACAAACGATAACTCTCTCCATTCCATCTAAACAGACCGTGCGCCGTAAACTTTGTATTCATGATAGAAATTTAAACAAACGATAGTTCTCCCCATTCCATCTAAACAGACCTTGCGCCGTAAACTTTGTATTCATGATAGAAATTTAAACAAACGATAACTCTCCCATTCCATCTAAACAGACCGTGCGCCGTAAACTTTGTATTCATGATTGAAATTTAAACAAACGATAACTCTCCCCATTCCATCTAAACTGACCTTGTGCCGTAAACTTTGTATTTATGATAGAAATTTAAACAAACGATAACTCTCCCCATTCCATCTAAACAGATCTTGTGCCGTAAACTTGTATTCATGATAGAAATTTAAACAAACGATAGCTCTCCCCATTCCATCTAAACTGACCGTGTGCCGTAAACTTTGTAGTCATGATAGAAATTTAAACAAACGATAACTCTCCCCATTCCATCTAAACAGACCGTGTGCCGTAAACTTTGTATTCATGATAGAAATTTAAACAAACGATAACTCTCCCCATTCCATCTAAACAGACCTTGCGCCGTAAACTTTGTATTCATGATAGAAATTTAAACAAACGATAACTCTCCCATTCCATCTAAACTGACCTTGTGCCGTAAACTTTGTATTCATGATAGAAATTTAAACAAACGATAACTCTCCCCATTCCATCTAAACAGACCGTGTGCCGTAAACTTTGTATTCATGATAGAAATTTAAACAAACGATAACTCTCCCATTCCATCTAAAAAGACCTTGCGCCGTAAACTTTGTATTCATGATAGAAATTTAAACAAACGATAACTTTCCCCATTCCATCTAAACAGACCGTGTGCCGTAAACTTTGTATTCATGATAGAAATTTAAACAAACGATAGCTCTCCCATTCCATCTAAACAGACCGTGCGCCGTAAACTTTGTATTAATGATAGAAATTTAAACAAACGATAACTCTCCCATTCCATCTAAACAGACCGTGTGCCGTAAACTTTGTATTTATGATAGAAATTTAAACAAACGATAACTCTCCCCATTCCACCTAAAAAGACCTTGCGCCTTAAACTTTGTATTTATGATAAAAATTTAAACAAACGATAACTCTCCCCATTCCATCTAAACAGACCGTGTGCCGTAAACTTTGTATTCATGATAGAAATTTAAACAAACGATAGCTCTCCCCATTCCATCTAAACAGATCGTGCGCCGTAAAGTTTGTATTAATGATAGAAATTTAAACAAACGATAGTTCTCCCCATTCCATCTAAACAGACTTTGCGCCTTAAACTTTGTATTCATGATAGAAATTTAAACAAACGATAGCTCTCCTCATTCCATCTAAACAGACCTTGCTCCGTAAACTTTGTATTCATGATAGAAATTTAAACAAACGATAACTCTCCCCATTCCATCTAAACAGACCTTGTGCTGTAAACTTTGTATTCATGATAGAAGTTTAAACAAACGATAGCTCTCCCCATTCCATCTAAACATACCTTGTGCCGTAAAATTTGTATTCATGATAGAAATTTAAACAAACGATAACTCTCCCCATTCCATCTAAACATACCGTGCGCCGTAAACTTTGTATTCATGATAGAAAGTTAAACAAACGATAGCTCTCCCCATTCCATCTAAACAGACCGTGTTCCGTAAACTTTGTATTCATGATAGAAATTTAAACAAACGATAACTCTCCCCATTCCATCTAAACAGACCGTGTGCCGTAAACTTTGTATTCATGATAGAAATTTAAACAAACGATAACTCTCCCCATTCCATCTAAACATACCGTGCGCCGTAAAGTTTGTATTAATTGATTGTATCGATATTATATATATTATATATTTACCAATACACATATATTTTTAGATACATTAAATATATAATATATTTACTACAGATAATTGATAAATATATAATATATATAATGTAGATACA